GCGCCTCTGGCGCCGCCCCCCCCGGCGCGCGCCGCACGGCGTGTATTCTCTTGCAGAGCTGTGCTCTGGAGCTCGGACCTCTTTCTTTTCTTTTCTTTTCTTTTCTTTTCTTTTCTTTTCTTTTCTTTTCGTCGTCGTCGTTCGTTCGTCGTCCGTCGTCCGTCCTCCCCCCCCACGGCCACGGAAGGAAGCTCCTGGAGGAAGGAGGCGAAGGCCTCCTGTCCCTCGCGGCTCCTCGGCGCAAGAGCCAGGGCACGCGTGCCACTCCTCTCTTTCGACCGCGGGAGCCCCGCCCGAGCGGAGGCACGACGTCGTGCCGACCTCGCGCGGTGGCCTGCGCGGCCGCCGGCGCGGCACTCCGCGCTGGCGGCAGGGGCGCTTTCGCGCGACCTCGCTCTCGCGCGAGCTTCTGCGCGGGCGTCGGCGCAGCCGACCCCGTATGCTTACAGTCGGGGCGTTGACCTAAGGAAAGGTAAATAAGGAACGGGGCCCCTTTTTCCCACAAGTTACACTCCGATTTCCCATCGAAAACCAAAGGAAAACCCAAGGCAACCTGTGAAGCAATCAAGGAACACGGAGCCCCTCCCCAACGAACAGGGTTCCTTCTTCAGGGCCCCGACTGTATGTCGCTCACAAAGCGTCTAGTCAGGACGGCATCCCCGCAAGTCCCGACCCCTTCCCCGGGACCGGTTTTTCGTCCTGGGCAATTTTTTGACGGTCCCGAGGCCCGGCGAGGGCCCCCCAGGGCCGAAAATACCTAAAAAACTCCCGTCCGGATTGTTCCACGACGCGAGCATGTCTGGGCTTTCTTCTGTCGCTCACCTGGCGCGGCCCCCCGGGCGACGCGGACACGAGCCTCCGTAGCAGGTCCCTCCGCCCGCACCCGATCGCGGCCGCCGCCACGGCTTTGCCGGCCTGGGGGTCGGCCAGCACGTCGGCCGCGGCAGGCTGCCCCTCGTACGCCGCGAGCACCTGCTCCGCCTGGGGGGACAAACCCAGGGCCCCATTGTTTTAATAGGGATACGACCGAGGAGTCGATCCTATACGAGTGTCCGTGGGTAAAGGTAAGTGAGGAAGAGGTTAGCTATTCCTTTTCCAGGGCGCTGCGCGGGGAGCAGCGCGGTATGTGTACCAATACCTGAACCGCTACGTTTGCGGTATAGGTCGATAGAATGGTGATATGAGCAGACTTCACACACACACACACACACACCTTGGGTCATGAAAAGCCACAACGGAAGTTTTTGATGGGGGGTATCTAGGGGTTGAGATTCGGACGGTTCGAGGCTCGGAGTTTTGGACGTTTTCGTTGGTTCTCGGCGGTTTCCCAGCCTCTGGGTGCTTTCCAGCAGCTGCGCCACGCCGAGAGCTTTCTGGGGGTGCCCGCATCGTCCCAAACGGCCGCCGGAGACCCGGGTTATGACCAGATCCAGGTCCCCAACGATACCCTGACCTGGGATCCGCCGTAGTTTGGGCGATTTGGCAAGTAGGAAGGACATTACCACCTTACTTTTCTCAAGCACATGTGATGTTGACTTCCGCCCTGCGTTGCCAATGCTGTTTCCGCCATGCCTTTGCGGACACATCTGAAGCGGAAGTGTACCTCTAGTTTCTCGCAGCGTTTGGCGTGCTGCTCCAACACAATTTCATATCAGAGAATCAACCGAAGCACGGCGGATCCGAAGTCCAGGCGAACCCAGACTCCCTCTGGTCATGAACAAAAGCTCAGTAAAACAGGATTGGACATCTTAGCCCCGGCGGGGCCCGTACACTGGGCCCCAGGACCATCAAAGAACGGCTCGTGATGAGAAGCCCGCCCCGAGGGAGCCGTCCAGACGACCAGACCTTTGGAGGTCCTCGTTACGAAGGAGCAATGACGTCGGGGGTCTGGGAATCGTGGGACAAGCACTGATTCCAGAGACCGGCGCAGACTTCTCGGACAGGCGCTGAGCCCCCTCCCCCAGCGCGCAGAGCACGCCAGGTGCGGCGCCAGCGGCGCCGACACGGTCCAGCACCGACGCGAGAAACTCGCGCGGACCTCCGAAAGGTACCGCCCCCCGCAAACTCCACCCCCCGACAGGGGCGGAGGGGGGAGAGGAAGTGGGAGCCTGAGATCGTCGGTTGCAAACAGAATTGCAACATCGCAGAAGATCACGGCCGGAGCCCCGACCCCCATCTGTCTCCTGCATTTCCCCAACCGGATCGATCTGAGACGGTCCCGGGGGCCAGAAACCGTGCAAAAACGCCCAGTGTGGGAAAATTGCGGCGCCCGGGTCCTAACGGGGGAGGAGGAGGAGGAGGAGGAGGAGGAGGAGGAGGAGAGAGGAGGAGGGAGGAGGAGGAGGGGGGGAGATGAGGAGGAGGAGGAGGGAGGAGGGAGGAGGAGGAGGAGGAGGAGGAGGAGAAGGAAAGGAGGCGGAAGGAGGAGGACGACGACGAAGAGCCCAGAGGGAGAGGAGGAGGAGGAGGGAGGAGGAGGAGGAGGGAGGAGGAGGAGGGAGGAGGAGAACGACGACGACGGCGACGACGACGACGACGAGGGGCGACGAGGAGGAGTCTGTCTGCTTCTCGGCCGCCGTGCCGGCCCCGCGGAGCAGCGCGCCGCAGGGCGCGGCCGCGGGACCCGCCCGCGGGCCGGCGCCCGGCGCCTCCCGGCCCGCGGCGGCCCTGCCCAGCTTCGCGGGGGGGCCGGGGGCGGGCCGCGCCTTGCGCGCCTCGCGGGGGCCGCCAGAGGCCCAACCACGTCGACGTCGTCGTGGCCGTCGTCGCCGTCGTCGACGTCGTCGTGGCCGTCGTCGCCGTCGTCGTCGTCGTCGTGGCCGTCGTCGTCGTCGGCGTCGTCATCGTCGTCGTCGTCGTCGTCGTCGGCGTCGGCGTCGGCGTCGTCGGCGTCGTCGGCGTCGTCGGCGTCGTCGGCGTCGGCGTCGTCGTCGTCGTCGCCGTGGCCGTCGTCGTCGCCGTGGCCGTCGGCGTCGTCGGCGTCGTCGGCGTCGTCGGCGTCGTCGGCGTCGTCGTCGGCGTCGTCGTCGTAGCCGTCGCCGCTGTCTCCTCGTCCTCGTCCTCGGCCTCGTCGTCTTCGTCCTCGTTTGCGTCGCCGCCGTCGCCAGGACAGGGACAAAATCGGGCAGGGATAACTCGGAGATCTCTGAGATCTGGCGGTTCTGGAACGTGTATCGGGCGCCGCGGCCTTCTCAGAGCCTTCCGGGACGCTCTGAGAGCGTTCTGGAGGGCTCTGGAACGATTTGGCCCAGTCCTAGCCCCGCCGACAGAGGTGACCCTGAACCAACCCCACCAACCCCCACAACCAATGTTTTCACGCAGAGCGTTTTCACCTGGCTCGAAGTAATGTCGGGGGCCTTGATGGCGTCGACAGGCTCAGCGAGCCGCTGACTCTGCAGCTGGTGACGGAGATGAGGCCGCTGAGGTCCGAGGCGGGGAAACTTGCACACATACCCTGAGGTTTGGGCGCTGCGTTTTTGCCACACTGGGCGTTTGCGCCCAGTTCCGTCTGGGCCCCAGGACCCTCGCAAATCGATCCGGCTCGAGAAATGTCGCAGAAAGATGGGGTCTAGAGTTATGTTGCTCCCAGCGTGCTTACAGACCAAGTCCCAGAACTAATTTCGAGCACCCAGAAAAGTATCGGAACAGTGCCGAACGAGCATCGCCTCGTTGAGCCCGACACGTGAAAACCCTCCAGTTGCGGCACGTTCTCGGTGCTCGAAATTCTTGCTGACGAGTCAGGCTACAGTCGGTTGGAACATCATGAAGTCTCGAGCTATGGTCGTGACTTTTCGCGATGCCGCTCTTTTTCTCCGCAGCGTCGGATCTCAGGGAGTGGACCGATCCTGTCCGGCCCCAGCCTGGGCCCAGGAGGGGGGGGCACACGATTATGCATCCCTGGCCGGGCCCGGAGGGCGTGCGCACCAAGCCTGCCCTGACTTCGGATCCGCCGTACCTTGGAGGATCCTCGCAGGGAGGACGGCAATCGCTGTCCTGCTTTCCGAGCTCCTCGAGTGCCGATCTCCGGCCCGATCTGCCGCCGCTGGTTGCGCCACACCTTTGCGGACATATCGGCCCTACCTTTCCGAGGCGGGGGTTTGGGCACCACTTTCTCATACAGTGTGGTGTGCATGTCCGACACGAGTTCGAATCAGAAAATCATCCGACATACTGCGGATCCGAAGTCAGGGAACCCTCACCTCCTCTGATTGTGACAAACATCAGGACGGGTGGTTTGGGCGCCGTTTTCGGCCTCCAAGGGCCATCGCCGGGCCCGGGGATCCTCAACACGACTGCCCGGGATGAAAGGCTGGTCCTGCTGAAGAAGGGGTCCACTTCTCCAGGGGTCTACGCACGTGAACAAACCACGACGTCGGGGTTCTGGGAAGGTGACCCCAGCTTGTCCGGTGAGGCCCTGGAGGCATCTGCAGCACCCCTCGCGAGGCCCAGAGGGCCCCAGGGGCCAGGGCTGGTGCACCTCTGGCAACCCCCCGGGCCTTTCCCTGGACCGTGTGCTTCGAAAAGATCAGCGAGTGCGCCACGATGGCGATGGCGAAGACCAGGACCTCACAGAGGAAACAAAAACAACGCAGCCATCAACATTCGGAAGTCAGCGTGGTTTTCTTGGGTCGTCGCTGGACTCTGATTGCCTGGCGCGCGGAGCGCGCCAGGGGCGGCGCCTGAGGCGCCGCCAGTGGGATCCAGCGTCGACCCAAGATATTCGCACGGCCCTCCAACAGCGTATGCTTGATTAGATGGTTGCTACTCGACCTCCGTCTGGAACTCTTCCGCGATTCCGGCGGCTGCGCAGAGGCCATCTTGGATGAGCAAGAGGCCTTCCCGAGTGAATGCCATGCTTGACGGCAGTAGTAGTAAGGTCAATGATGTGATTGGCGGTGCTTTGGATGGGTATCCTATTCGGTGGCGCTTACAGTAAGATGCAGTCTCCTGTTCAGACGACACTTGGGCCAACGTGCAGGCGAAGAGGGAGAGGAGGGGCA